TCTTTTGGGGAGAGAGTGAACTGTTGAGTGCACTTTTAGCACTCCCTCTTCCTTGCTTCTCTCTAGACATCTGAAGCATATACCATCAGGAGGGAATTTATATTTCATGTTCAGGAGCACCCTTAATAGCCCAAGAGATAAAAGTGATAGGTTTGTCACACAATAGTTTGGAACACAGCCACTATAAGTAGCCTTCTCAAATCACAGGACAGGGGTTCTCTTCTTATTTAAGCACCTGGACCTAGACTTGTGTCTGAATTGTAGATGGAAATGTTTCCATTTTTGAAATTTTTGCATTTAGAGGGCAAGAGAGTCTTTTGGAGTTGACTCTGACTGATGTATGAGGTTTGTATTTGTATAAACAGAATCACCCACTGTTAACCCAACCCTCCAGCCCATTATTGGAAAGTGGCAGGAAGAGCAAGGAGAGGGGAAGGAGGGAAATGGGGAAGGAGGAAGTATAGAGAAAGGAAACCCAGTTATCATATGCTGTAGTTTGGATGTTTGTTGCTCCAAACCTCATGCTGAAATTTGATCCCCAGTGGTGAAGGTGGGGCCTAGTGGAAGGTTTTTGGATTATGGAGGAGGATGCCTCATGAACGGCTGGGTGCTTTCCTCATGGTAATGGGTGAGTTCTTGCACTATTGGTTCCCAAGAGAGATGGTTGTTAAAAAGAACCAGGTGCCTTCCTCCTCTCTCTTGCTTCCTCTCTTGCCATGCGATCTCTGCACACTGCAGCTCCCCTTTGCTTTCTGCCATGAGCGAAGCAGCCTGAAACCCTCATCAGGAGCAGATGCTGGCACTAGGTTTCTTGTACAGCTTGCAGAACCATGAACCAAATAAACCTCTTTCCTTTATAAATTGCCCAGCCTCGGTGTCCCTTTATAGCAACACAAATTAACTAAGACATCATCTAAGAAGGGAGTCAGGACTGTAGTGTGGAGATCAAGGCTGTAAGGATTCTGTAGGTTTGGGAATCCTTTCTATCTTTACAAAGTTTATTTTGTTGTTTTATTTTCCTATCCTTGATTCACTTTAAAGATTAGTATTGCATGGCTTAAATTAAAATGGGCTTGTTTTTAGAAGAGAAGAAAAGTAGGAATGGGAATATTGTATCCTCTTTGGCTTCAGTCTTTGAACAAGGACCATCCCCAGGAGTGGAGTGGGTGGTGGCAGGTGCAGAGAAGAGAAAAGCAAGATAAACTGGGCCCTACAGTAAGAAACAAAACATGGCTGGGGATGGAACTTGGCAGAGAAGCATCCTTGGAGATTTTGCTAGAAAGTTGGCATTTTCCAACATACATTAAAGGAACAGATAGCCCCCCATATACACATGCTAGTAAATTCCCACAAGGTCAGGTAGTGAAAGCTGTGAGATTCCCTTCCAGATATCCACAAAGAAGCCATTTGTTCTCTTGCCTGAAGGGCAGGTCTTTCCCAGGTTTCTTAGGGACCTCATCAGCTTTAATACGAGCATTAATTTATCTCACTTTGGTAACTGGACTTTATGGCTGGTTCCTGAGCTACCAATTAGCTGGATTATATGGTTAGAAAACAACAGGACCATTAAGGTTATAGCCTCATGGTTTACCAGACACAATACATATTTTATTGGAATCTACTCTATTCATTGTTTCATGAATGCTGTTGGTGGGGTCCAGACCACACACTAGGCTTGCAATGTTCATTATTCCAACTCGAACATCCATGCATTCTGCAAGTCATGTTTATCTTATGGCACAATGAAAGTTAATGAAAAAACAGAATTAATTTGGCCTAATATGGAGCTGTAACCTCCAGTATACTGGAAGAGTTAAATGTACATCCTCTCAGTTGCTAAGATTGAACAAAGAGAATGAAGAAAACGTAATTGTACTGAAGAAACCCATAGTCTTATTACAGGGAAAAATGGTTTACTGCACAAAGAGAAATATCATGATTTATTTCTCCTAAGTGAAGTATTATTTATATTTCTCAATTACATCTGAGCTTTATAAAGATTAATCAAAAAAAATGTTAACAAATGTTAAGTGATTTTTAGAAATTCCCCTAGAATGAGTTTTTAACATTTTCTTGAAAAGGAAGTCTATAATAAATGTGTGAAGCTATTTATAGGGATCTTTTTGGAGCTGAGTAAGATCTTAACTCACCGAATAACTTTCAAGTGGAAATTTGGCCTGGACACAGGAAAGATGTGAATCCATTGAGTTAAATCTGGATAGAACCTCCCAGAGGGTGAATGACAAGATGAAATCTCACTCTTTAACACAACAGGAGTTCAGGCTAAGAGATTTGGTGATCTAATTAATATTTCTGGGACTTTTGATCATAATCAATTTTACTGACTTCTCTAAATCTCATGCAGTCCTCCATCATCAGATGATTTAACCAGACCCAGAATTTCAATCAGATCTTTTCTCTGAGCAAGAACTCTGAGGTATTAAATCAACAAACAGTTCTTAGGCTTTCATAAGTTAAATGTCATCAGTAAGAGGAGTCTTGGAAAAATTGAGGAAAGAAATGCAGACACTGTAGGACACTTCTTTAATTTTTTTTTTTTTTTTTGGATCTGCACTTTGTGCAGAAGGGTTTTCTGAGTTAATTAGTATAAATGGTTTACCTGAATAACCTTGAAAAAGGTAGTTTACCTACTCTGGATCTACACTTGATCTTAGCTAAAATGTTAAGAAGCAATGCTGTGGATCTATTTCTGTATGTGATAAATGATTTTTTAAAGTCCCTTATGAATATAAGTCTGAAATAGGAATCAAAAGATCTGACTCCAAATTCTAGGTGTGTCATACACTTGCTGTCTGCACTTGGACAAGTTACTTCATCTCCAAATCCCAGTTTTCCCCTCTCTGAAATGAAGCCAACAATACCCTCCTTCCTGTTGTTAAAATTAAATGAACTGTACTATACAGAAGTGCCCACAAGATACCTTGCATGTAGTTTAAATTTCAGAGATACTTGTTGAAAGTATCAACTGCTTTTCAGCTGCCATATTCTGTACTTTAGTTCCACTTAGCAACTTGAACTCAGAGAGAAACAGTTTAAGACTATTATCCCTCTTTTCCTCTGTGAGAATCACATGACATTCAAACTGTTGATTTACTTGCTTTTAGAGGAAGACACAGAAACCATTTTCTCATTTGAAAGATTGAGTGGAGAAAGACAATTTCATTTCTCTTTCCTTTCTCAGAAACATTTATCTTTCAAACTGTTACAAATTTCTACTCATCTATGATTGTTCCTGAATAGAACATGAGAGGGATGTGGATCTTTGCAAAATGCAGTGCCTCAGCTTCTCCTGGTTGTTTGCATTTCTACAGGGCTTAATGCTTTCAATAAAGTTGTATTATACCTACGCTCCAATGTTCTTCTTACAACAGTGCTACAATGTAAGAGGGGTTGTATGATTTCTCTTCTTGAAATGAAGACATTAAAGGATAGGAAGGCTAAGGTATTTTCTGAAATTCATCTGATAAACCATGAACAGAGAAATAATAATTCCTATCTCCTAATGAGCCCATGAACTCACTACTAAATGCAAAAGAGAAAAATAATTTAAACATTAGTCATCTCAATACCACCATTCAAACATTTAAAATGAGGTGGCCTTTTCAATAACTGGATCTTGTTTTTCACATACATACATGTGAATGTGTATATATATATATATATACACACACACACCACACAGATATCTATGTATATGTCAATATGACCTACAAAATATTATTATGCATATTTATTTATTAATAAATTATCATCTTTAAAAATAGCAAAGCTCAGGGAGAAGAGGTAGGAATGGGGTTGGATAGATTGCTAAGATGCAGCAGTGTGTGATGGAAAATAAATCTCATTGAGCTCTGCCTTTACTTTTTCTTGGTGGCACATATGCACTTGACTTCTCTGAAACCCAGTTGCAAAATTAGGAATAATGATGCTTGAAAGGACCAGAGAAAAGCTGTAGGACATGCCTAACAAAATTTGACCATAGAGTAGATGCTAAATCACATGCTAGTCTCCTTCCCTCCCTGATTTCAACTTTTTAAATGGTGAAGTGAGGCACACTTACAATAAAGTGTGAAAACTTAAATGAACAATTTGATAAATTATTAGAGACCAAGCCACTGAGGTTAGGAAACAGGATATTGATGGCACACCAAAATCCTTCCTTGTGCCCTCAGAGAGGTATTAGCCTTCCACTTCTTCACAGAAGTGACCTCTATTTTGAATTCTAACAGCAGAATCAAGTTTTTCCTGGTTTGGAACCTTATAAAAGGATATTAGACAGTTTGCATTGTTTTGTGTCTTGCTTCTTTCAATCAATAATATTATGCTTGTGATATTCATCCATGTTGTGTGCCACTCGTTTCATTCATTTTTGTTGCTGTGTGATATTAATAGGTTGTTTATGATTTGGGGGCTACTATGAAAAAGCTGCTATAAATGTTCCTGTGTCCATGACTGCTCCTGCACGTGGGCACATTCCTGTTGGGTATGTGGACTAGCACTGCTAGGCCAGATTGGTCCTACATATTTCCAACCAAAGTAGTTAACAAATGAAACTGTTTTTTAAAGTAGTTGTACAAGATCCACTCTCACCAGCAACTGAAAGAATTCAGTTGTTCCCCTTTCTAACCAACTCTTGCTGTGGTCAGCCTTGTAAACTAGCCATTCTGGTGGGCTGTAGTGGTATCACACGGTGGCTTTAATTAGCATTTCCTGAAGGCTAATGAAAGTGAGCACCCTTTAACATATTCATTAACCCTTGGTGTTATGGACTAAATGTTTATGTCCTCCCAATGTTCATTAATTGAAGCTCTGACCTCTAATGTGAAGATATTTGGAGATGAGGTCTTCTGCAGGGATTAGGATTAGCTAAGAACATGAGGATGGACTCTATCATGGGATTAGCATCCTTATTAGAACAGAAAGTGCATCCCTGTGCATGTGTGAGCTCTTACTCTTTGTCTCTCTCTTTGCCATGTAAGGACACACAAGAAGGCTACAGTTTGCTAGCAAGAAAGAGAGGCCTCACCAGGAACTGAATCAGCCAGCATGATGATCTTGGACTTTCCAGCCTCCAGAATGGTGAGAAATAAATGTCTGTCATTTAAACCACCTAGCCGTGATATTTTGTTATAGCAGTCTGGACTGGCTACAAAACTCAGATTTCCTTTTGTAAAATGCCTATCAGAGTTTTTTGCCAATTTTTCTATTTCTGAGTTGTGTGGTTTGTGTTTTTTATTTTTTTTTTATAAATGATTTGTTCTTCATTAATACTGGAAATAAGATCTTTTATTTATATGCTTTGCTAATATATTCTGCTATTCTTTGTTTTGCCTTTTAACATTCTCAGTGGTATTCTTTTGTGAACTGAACTTCATATTTTAATACAATGTAACTTACCAATATCTTAGTGTTAGGATTTTTTGTGATCTAAAAAGACATTTAGTACCTCTATCATGAAGATATATCTATAGTATCTTCCAGAAGCATTACTGTTTTGATTTTAAATCTACAATCTCCCTAGAATTGATTTCTGTGAATAATGTGTTAGGGGGTATTAATTTGCTAGAGCTGCCATAACAAAGTACCACAGAGGGAGTGGCTTCAACAATAAAAATTTATTTTCTCACAATTCTGGGAAGCTGGAAGTCCAAGATCAAGATGTTAGCAGGTTGGTTTCTTCTGAGGCTTCTGTCTTGGGCTTGTAGATGGCAGTCTTGTATTTACATCCTCCCATGGTAATCTCTGTGTAGTCTCTGTGTCCTCATCTCCTCTGCTTATGAGAACATTGGTCATATTGGATTAGAGCCCATCCTAATGACTTCATTGTAAGTACCTCTTTAAAGACCCTATTTCCAAATACAGTCACGTTCTGAGGTATTGGGGGTTAGGACTTCAATATACAAATTTTGAAGGGGATACAATTTGGTCCATAACTTACGGTTGAATTTTCTTTTTCAGATGGATGTCCAGTTGACGTAGTACATTTATTGAAGAAAATGTTTTTCTTTTATTATTTTGATAAAAAGTTAATCAGAAGTTAAGGATCCATATGCGCATGAGTCTATTTTTAGACCTTCTTTTCTCTTCTCTTGATAATTCTTATGATAACAATATGAACTAACAAATATGTAAGATGAACAAGTTGAGAAATCTAATGTATAATATGAATGCTATAGATATTAATAGTATATTGTATGCAGAATTTTTGCTAAATGAGTAGATTATAGCTGCTCTTGACACAGGGGGAAATATGGGTAAACTATGTGAGATGATGGATACATTAATTTGTTCCTCTATAATCATCACTTTACTATGTATATATGTATCTTAGAATATGTTGTATGCCTTAAATATTTACAGTACAGTTTTGTTTTTTTTTTTATTTCAGCATAGTATAGGGATACAAATGTTTAGGTTACATATGTTGCCCTTGCCCCCTCACTTAGCATTGTTTCAATTGCTATGGGTTTATTATAATTCTTGATATGCATGAAATAAAACCTTTTGATTTATCCTTCTTCTTTAGCAGTGTCTTGACTCATCTTAGTTCTCTTTATTTCTATATAAATTTTTTCAATCCCCTTCTCCCCAGAAAAACATTGTTAGTATTTGTCTAGGATGGAATTAACTATACAGATCAATTTGGGGAGAATTTATATTGCTACAGTATTGAGTCTTCCAATATACTAACTTTACATATGCCTCCATTACGTAGGTCTTTCTAATTTATTTTAATAATATTTCATAGTCTCAGTGCAGAGATCTTATACATTCTCATTACATCTGTTCCTAGGTTTTAAAATTTTTGTTGTTATTGTAAATTGTGTTATACTGTGAAATTTTATTTTATTTTATTATATATAGTGGTATACAGTTTAGTATTTTTTATTAACCTTATATTGGCAAACCTGCTGAACACACTTATTAATTCAGTGATTTACCTGTAAATTTGTTTGGATTTTCTGCAAATATAATCACCTAACCTTCAAATGAGTTGACTGTTTTTATCTCTTCTTTTCTAACCCTTTTAATTTTTATTTCTGTTCTTCTTTCAGTTACTGAATTGGTAGAGCTTCCAATACACTCTTGAATGTCAGTGGGAGGTGCAGGCATATCTTGCCTCATTCACAATCTCAAAAGGAATGGAATTGAGCAGTGCTCTCCATGAAATTAAAGAAATTCTCTTCTACTCCTAGCTGGATAATATATATATATATTTTTTGAGACAGAGTCTCACTTTGTTGCCCAGCCTAGAGTGAGTGCCATGGCATCAGGCTAGCTCACAGAAACCTCAATATCCTGGGCTCAAGAGATCCTACTGCCTCAGCCTCCCGAGTAGCTGAGACTACAGGCATGCACCACCATGCCCAGCTAATTTTTTGTATATATATATTTTTTAGTTGGTCAATTAATTTCTTTCTATTTTTAGTAGAGACGGGGTCTTGCTCAGGCTGGTTTTGAACTCCTGACCTTGAGCAATCCACCCACCTCCACCTCCTAGAGTGCTAGGATTACAGGCGTGAGCCAACATGCCCGGCTGGGATAAAAGATTTTATCATAATGGGTATTTGATTTTATCATACTTTTTCTTCATCTATTGAAATAACCATATAAATTTTCTTTCATTCTGTTAATGTGGTAAATTAGAATGATTGATTTTTAAAAATCAATAACTTGCTTTAAATCACTCTTGCACTCCTGAAATAAATAAACTTGGTTGTGTGGAATAATCTTTTCTGTATGGTGCCAGATTTTATCTGTTATTATTTTGTTTATTATTTTTTGCAGCTAAATTCATGAGAGATTTGGACGTATAATTTCCCTTTCTACTAATTTTCTTGTCAGATTTTGGAATGAAAGTTATGCTGGCTTTATACAAAAACAAGATGTGAAGTGCTTAATCTATTTTTTTCTAGTACATGAAAGAATTAAGGCAGAGTGGTGGTTTATATTCCTTAAATTCATGACAGAATTAACTGGTAAAACCAGCTGGGCCTGGAGTTTTCTTTGTGGGAAGATTTATAATTACAGTTTGAATTTCTCTAATAATTATAGGATTCCACATTTCCTATCGTTACTTGTATTTTTCTATTGTTTGTCCATTTCATCTAAATTTTCAAATATAGTGGCATTAGCATTATTATCATTTTCTCCTGCAATATTTGTAATAACCTTGTGATGTCTTCATTTTAAAAATTATAATGATCTTTGTTATGACTCTAGCTATACTTTTTCTTGATCAATCTGACCTGAGATTTATTAATTTTTAAAGTTTTTCCAAGATTTAAACTTTAGGTTGTTTGATATTTTCTATTGTATACTTGTTTCCTCATTCATTCACTTTTGCATTTTTTTCCTTATTCTTTTGGGGAAGGGGGCAGGTTGCTAAATTTGCTATTCTTTTTAAACTTCTTGTGATAGGCTCATTCATTTTCAGTCTTTTTTTTCCCTATAAATTGGTTTTTGCTATATAGTTTACCCTTGAAATTCATTTCAAATTGTTTTCTAGATTCCATAGGGATGTCTTCTTTGATCCATGTATCTATTTAGAGGCATATTTTTATTTTCACATGTTGATTTTCTAGTTAACAATATAATTGATTTTTAGCCTAATTACATTGTGGTCAAAAAACTTATTTTGTATGATTTCAATTTTTAAAATCTTGTAGAGCTCTGCTTTATGGGAGAGTGTATGGTCAATTTTGTTAAATATTCTGTGGGTACATAGAATGCATGCACATTCTGTAGCTACAGATTGCAATGTCCCATGTGTGTCAGTTAAATCATATTTACTGGTTAATATAGTTTGGATGTTTGGCCCCTCCAAATCTCACGTCGAAATTTGATTCCCAGTGTTGGAGGTGGGGCCTGGTGGGAGGTGCTTGGGTCATGGGGGTGGATCCCTGGTGAATGGCTTGGTGCCCTCCCTGTGGTAATGAGTGAGTTCTCACCCTATTAATTCATGGAGAGGTGGTTATTTAAGAGCTGGTCACTCCCTCCTCTCTCTCTTGCTCCCTCTCTTGCCTTGTGCTGCCCGCTCCCTCTTTATCTTCCACCTAGAATGGAAGCTTCCTGAGGCCCTCACCAGAGGCAGATGCTGGTGCCATGCTTCTTATATAGCCTGCTTCTGCAAATAAACCTCTTTTCTTTAGAAATTACCAAGCCTCAGGTATGCCCTCATAGCAATGCAAAATGGAGACAATACACTGGTATAGGTTGGGTACTCTTATCCAAAATGCTTGGGACGAGAAGTGTTTCAGATTTCAGATTTTTTTTTTTATTTTGAAATATTTTCATAAGCATAATGAGATATCTTGGTGATGAGACTCAAGTCTAAACAGGAAATTCATCTATGTTTTATATACCCCTCATATACATAGCCTGAAGGTAATTTTATACAATAAATTTTATAAAAAATTTAAAAATTTTAAACAAAAAAAATTTTAAACAAAAAAATTTTATACAATATTTTAAATAATTTTGCTCATGAAACAAAGTTTTGAGTGTATTTTGCCTTCCTCACATGAAGTCAGGTGTGGAATATTCTACTTGGTGGTATCATGTCAGTGCTCAAAAGTTTTCAAATTTTGGAGCATTTTGGATTTTGGATTTCAGATTACGGATGTTCAGCTTGTATTGTTCAAACCTTTTATATTCTTACTAGGATTCTTTTTTATTTTTTATTTTTTGGTGTGACATGATAAAGACTCCCACTATTGCAGGTTTGATGATTTTTCTTGTAATTCTGCTAATCTTTTCTTCATTTATTTGAAAACTATATTATGTGATACCTTTATATCTAAAATTGATGTCTTTTTGATGAATTAGATCTTTTATTCTCATGCAATGCCACTTTTTTACATAATAATGTTTTACCATAGAATCCTCTTTATCAAATGATAAAATAGGTGCATTTATTTTCTTTTGTTTAGTGTTTACATGGAATATCTTTTTCAATCTTTTAAATTTTTTTAAAAGTTGGACTACAGGTCCTCTGTCTTTCACTTTCAATCTTTCTGTATTTTTATATTTTGAATAAATCGTTTTGCAGCTGGTGGCAGAGTTTATGAAGCCCTGCAGGTCAAATCCAATGATTCCCCTTGTGACAACCTTACACATATTAGAATCTACCCTCCCGTAGTACCCCAAACTTTTCTTTTCAGCATTAATTCTTCCTACATCCTCCAGCCACTTCTTATGCAAAATAACTTAAAAGCCTAAATTTTAAATAGTTCACAGAATTCAGGCAAATAAAATGGAGGGAAGTAGGTCTGCTCTTTGCATTAAACTTAGAGAAATATTCTTCACTTATACTTAGACATCTCATTATTCTGCTTTTGGTGGACACAGATGCAGAGAAATATCTCTCTACCTGAAGAACAGCCTCAGCGTAGGGCAGCCCCAGCCACAGGGGTGCCCATTGCAGTGGGGCCTGGGTCTGGCTGGGGTGCAGGGGCTGTGGGGCCTGGGTCTGGCTGGGGTGCAGGGGCTGTGGGGCCTGGGTCTGGCTGGGGTGCAGGGGGCTGTGTGCCTGCGTTGGCTGTGCCAGCTGGTGGGTGGCCTGGGTCTGGCTGGGGTGCAGGGGCTGTGGGGCCTGGGTCTGGCTGGGGTGCAGGGGTTTGGGGCCTGGGTCTGGCTGGGGTGTACACCCAGCTACAGCAGCTGTGCTTCTCCTCTCTGGCCAGTGGCTGCCTCATGGGAAAATGGAAAAAGTATGAGGAAAAAAAAAAAGTGGATTGATATGTGACATAGTCTGAATTTAAATGCAAGTTCAAATCATATTTGAAACTCTGCATGGGCTAGACAGAGCCAGTTCCCAGAACTGCTGTCAAGCTCCCCAGACCTGGTTGTTTCCTTTGGCTGTTCCGGGAAGCCCATCTCCTTCCTGGCATGCACCTCCCTCCTCAGGATGCTGTTTTCCTGTTACTGTCTGGCCAGTGTGTGGATTAAAGCCATCCTAGAGAAATTAAACAGCCACCTAAAGTCTCTTAAGCTATTACTTGGAGGGGGGAGGGGCAATGCTGTCTCACTCTTGACTCACACTGAGTTTCCCAACAGCGCAATCTCCAGACATTTTTTTCTTCTCCTTTGGTCATGTCTATAAGTCTGTGTCCTTCACCCTGTCCCAAGCACTTATGGATCTTTTGACACGTGAACAGGTTTTACTTACCAAACTCACCTCGTGCGGTGGGGACACTTCCCTCTATCAGCCCACTTGGAGGGAACATAGCCAGCACTTTCCCACTCTGGGTGCTAATGAAGTGGATTCCTTTTGTGTGGATGACAAGGAGATGTTCCGGCACTGAGCTCAGCACCTCCCCACTGCCGCCCTCCCTGGCCCTCTGCTCCACCCTCCCTCCCCCTTTACTCAGGCTGCTTGTTCTTGGGGGAGGCGAGCACTGTTTTTTCACATGTGAGTTGTCTTCTGGGGACCTCAGGGTGGACTCTGGCTTCACTGGGTCTCAAGGGATAAGAAACACAGAGAAATAAGATGATACATTATCTTTAAAGGCGATATGTCGCCTGTGTGTTTAACTTTTCAGCAGCAGAATGAGAGGTAAGAAAAACGATTCAGGGAAAGTCAACTCCACTCCAATCATACCGTTAATTGGTATGTTCGTGGGAGCAAAACATCAGAAAAACTCCAGTGTGGGAGACTCTCGTCCAGCATGCCTGCTCTTCCTCCAGACAGATACAAACAATATACATGACCCTTACAT